AAACCTCCAGATACAAAAATTATTGTTGATTTTTTTTGCAACTTCTTTCTCATTGTATATTTTCAGATTTATCCTGTACAATAGGGTGGCGCAAAAATCCGACTATTTTTTTTTTGAAATATGTTAATTTATCGTTTTTATGCCAAAGGGCAGCTCAAAAACTTTTTTTTTTTTTAAATATCAAAATTAGTCAAAATTCGATTTTTTTTTAATTTTTTTACTCGTGACAGTAGAATTTTGTACCCCAAAAAAGAAAAAATGTCTCAAATTTTTAGTTCAAAATATGAATTTTAACGGTCGCTCATAATTTATTATATACAACATTTATGCTTTTGATGTTTTCGAGCGACCTTTTAAATCTTAATATTAAAAATTAATTTCAATTTTTGCTTTTAAGTAGCAAGGTAATAAATCAGAATTCATCACGAGACAGAAAAAAAATTCAATACAACAATGAAAGCATAATTTAATAAATTGAATTTTGACTAATTTTGACATTTTTAAAAATATTGAGCGACCTCTAAAAAATTTTTTTTTTGAGCTGCCCTTTTGGAGGGGTTGTTAAAACATAATAAATTAACATATTTTCGTATCACACTCAAAAAATAGTCGGTTTTTTTGTGCCACCCTACTCTACTAGATAATATTTTGAGTTAAGAAAATGCAAAAACTTTCACTAGGTATAAAAATAAATTTTCCATAAAATTTCTGAAATATTTTTGCACATACGTTGTTGCACTGGATGTGTATAATGTGCCAGCACTGACTTTATTTACCTTCTCGCAATTTTTTTCAAGTTGCCCGTCTGTGTTCCGCTACCGCTGGACGATCGACAAACGGCCTCTTATGAAAAGTTACTGGAAAGATCTAGCGCAAGTGTGGATTCATGGGTAAGGACCATCTAAAAACATCTCGAAGTCTACGAAACAGGACTGGATTTGTCTGAAACATATATTTGTTTGTATAAATGGATTCTTTTGCCATTTGAGTTTAGTTTTGATAACAAATAAATTAGTTATAAAATAAGTTGGTGTATTTAGTGAATATAAATTAGAATAATTAAAGGTTCTAAAATAGACAGACATAACAATATGTTAATATTTGAGGAATGAGGTTTCAAAACATGCTAACTCCATGCCACAAGGCCCCTCTCTGAAGCCGCCCTTGCCTAATTGAAAAGGCAAAAGATGCATCTTGTGTTACCAGAATATTTAATTTCTTATTATAAGGCGAAAGTTGTAACTTATTTGTGTTTAATAAAAGAAACTATCATTTCCCATTATTTTGTTGCATCAAAATTCGCAAAATAGGCTGTGAAACAGTAAGTTTAACATATTTTTTTACTGTATTTGTTTTTTTGACCTGCCAAAAAAGTTTAAATAAGTAGTTAACATTGTCTTAGAATAGTCTTTTAGGTACCTTATGTATTAGCAGATCGGAAACTGCAGTAATTTTGAAGTCCTAGGTTTTCCCTAATTATGAGAAATCACTTAACAGGGACTACAAAGTTTTGAAACTACACTCCACATTTAATCCTCATTTTAGAGTGACAGAAAATATTTTATACCTAAAATATTTATTGTGTTCAAGAGAATTAAGAACATTTAAAATGGAAATTTAAATTCAAATATAATCTGTCATCAGTCACCTGTCACTCTTCTTCTTTACTATTGTAAAATCACTGGCCTCTTTTCTTAAGAAAATCGACAAATTAACACTGGCCTATTTTAATCAATAATTTGGCCAATTTTAACTTCTTATTGTATAAGATGAAGGACACCCTAAATGATAAATAAAATAGAAGATACCAATTTTCTTCAAGACAAAGGCAATGAAAATTTTGAAAATTTAGAAGAATGAAATAACCTAATATAACCTAAAATTTCTTAGAGGAATATATAAATATGTATTTCAGACTGGTAATCTAAACAATTTAAATGTTTAGGACATGTGTTACCTATGAAAAATTAGAATAAAGCTACAAATTAGTATGTTGGTCCAATTCGTTGTCCAATAATCCCCTATCAAATGCTCCCAAACTACTTATTGGCATTGTATTATACAACACAAAACAAACCATTTTTTGCAATAAAAACACTTATTAGCTAGCTGTAAGAGAATATTCGACTGTGTACTTAGAACTTATCGCAAAAAATGTAATGTAAAGTAAGACAATAATGCGCTCTGGTACAAAGGATAATTAATTTTTTAACAGTTAAAACAAGTAATGCCATACATGATCATGATACTTCTATGTATGTCCTCGTTTTCCGGCCGATATAGAGGGGCTTGATTTTAAATTGTATTAGTAAGAAGTAGCGTCAATTAAGCTCGACTTTAAAAATGAAAACTTAAAACTATTGCAATGCATACGGGTGAAAAACATTGTATCAAAACAGAAATAAAACAAAATAATAGGTAATCAAAATGTACAGAGTTAAAAAGTTATAGTACGTTAAGAATGAGATTAATCAACAAGTTTAAGTATTATTATATCAGTTTTCAGTTTCTATAACCTACAATTAAAAATAAACTCACCATTAATGGCTTTCAATTCATCAGGATTGATGGAAATTTTGTATAGCGGATTGTCTTGCAGTTCGTAATGATTAATAACAACTCTCAATTCATAGTTTTGAAGAAAATCGTCACTTTTCTAAATACTGCCATCCGATTTCATTCTGTTTTTTATCATTGTGTGCCTCTGTTGCTTCCTCTTTAGAAGATATCACGACCACACCTTTACCATCTAAAAGAAAATTAGATTTTTTAGGTACCATAAATAGAAGTTATTGTAGTTGAAATTACAGATCATAATAATAACTGTCAGGAGCTCTGCGTCGCTGGCATCCGCCTCCGGGGCCAGTCCCTAGCTACGACGCTGTTCAACGTAACATTTACACATAAATATTCAGTGAGACCCTATAGGTTGGAATAAATTTGATATTTTTCTAACTGTATTTTAACCAAACTGCGCGTCATTGTCTAACTTCTGAAATATTTTTGAACTTACGTTGTTGCACTGGATGTGTAATATTGTCGTGCTAGCCATTTTCAACCCTGATCTTCGTTTACAATCTTCTCGTTCCATTCTAGCCGCCCGTTTGTGTGCCGCTACCGCTTGATTATTGAAACAAATGGACTCCAAGGAGAAGTTACTGGAAAACTCTTGCACAAATGTAGATGCATGGGGAAGAACCATCTAGAAGTCTGTGAAACAGGACTGGATATGTCTGGAGCATAATATTGTTTGTATATAAATTGATTATTTTGATGTTTGAGTTTAGTTTTGATTACAAATAAATTAGTTATAAGTTGCTTTATTTATTAAATCTAAAATAGAATAATTAAACATAACAATATGTTAATATTTGTTGAGTCCTTGCTCCATGGCCCCCTCTCTGTAACCGCCTTTTCTTTGTATACTACTATATTTAATTTTTTGTTATAATGCAGAACCTACCCTGTAGGAGAGCGGTCACTATTTTGATTATACAGAAATTACTAAAGGTTGCATGTACTTCAAGATATTTTGACATCTGTAACATTAAACAATGTGGTTCATTTTTGGTAATACTAGTATCATATTAATGTATTGGAAGGTTCAAAATGTTTAAAAATAACTTAAAACTTACTTACCCTCACAAACGTTACATCTATTTTATCTTTTTTTCATTGGTAAGCAAGAAGTAATTAATTTTCATCAGAAATAGTCTGCCAATGTTTCTATTGAGATGCTCTACAAACACTTAGTCGTCTACTTGAATTCTTCTCTCTGGTTGAAATAAAACTTGGCGCAAGAAAATAAAGCAATAAAAATTTCCAGAAATATTGTATTTTTAGTTAATACAATCTTTGGTATATGTACAAAAAATATAATAAATGCAGACTCTTAAATATTTCGTAAATAAAACGAAATTGAATAATTTAATTATAGAACATAGTATAAATATAGTTGAATCCACACTAAATTATCTGTCATTGTATTACAAAATATTACAATTTCTATTTTTCACATTATTTATCCATAATTCAAGTAGATTACTAATGAGAAACGTAATTTAAAGAATCATTTGAAAATTCGTCAATAAAGAAATCTCAAAAATACCCCTACGAATTATTAAGACCAACCCCAAAGGTAAAAAAAATACTTGGAAGATTTGAAAAGAAGCCTGTTGTGGCCGGGATTCGAAACAGTATATCCTTGTGCTTTAGCACAAGAAAGTCCAGGTTAAATTCCCGGCTATATATGGAATAAATAACAAAATTAGCAAACTTCATTCTTTAGCATACATGAAAACAATAGACAGTACGGTTTAGGTACCAACGAATGAACGAATTAAAAATAAAATAATTAATATTAAAAAGAACAAAAAAATAGGAATGGTAAATAGGTTAACAATAGGTTCAGAACCCCAAAATATGAATTAATATTTTGCCAAATAACACTTTTTTGTAGCTAACAACTTTGTCAAAATAAATTAATTTTGACACAGCACTTAACAGTTTTAAGCAAAAAGAATAAAACAGTTTAATAATGTCGTATTTTATTGGTAGATACTTTTTTGCGAAACACTGTATATTTTTAATATATTGAGCATTCTAGAGAATGTATTTCAATAGTAACTTTCGCCAAGTGTAAGAGAGTGTGATGTAAATAATTCAGTAAATACAGAGTGTTCCGTTTAAAAAATATATATTTGTATTTGCCATGCAAAGGCCTACGTCAAAAAATATTTTTAAAGTATCCCTTTTTTAAATCTATATGAAACTTGTTTGCGTGGGCAAAACACAAATTGAATGAGACACTCTGCATATCTGACGAACGAAATCGATTGTATAAAAGTGACAAAGTAATTTAGAAACACTGTATGTTACTTAATGTGGATTTAACTATAACACTTACAAATAGTTTAACACGTCTTCATAAAGTTCTAGTAAAGTAAGTCAAAAAATTGTATGTACACACGACATCTCGCAATAGTGATGTTTTTGGGTATTCAACTAGCATTTGTCTTCGTTTCGAATTTTTGCTGTAACGTCGCAACATTCGAATTTGATCTAGCTGCGTTTCTAACACCAATTGGGGTTTTTGCGTTAATAGTACCAACTTCGGAATTCGTTTTAATCAGTTTACTAGCTACCGTCGGTTTCGTATCACTCTTTTTGTCCTGCAAAGATTTAAAACTTACGGATTTGGGATTATTCTTCAAGTTGTTAGCTTTAGGTAGGGGTACAATAGGCTTAGCACTCGTGATGGAAGGTTTCTTATTTACTGAACTTCCTCCAAGCACGTCAGGAGGTTTTGAAACAGTATTTGCATTGTTACAACTTGTTACTAAATCGGGACTATTCGTTACAGACCTATTAGATTTTTGTACAGGTGTTACAGATCTTGTTGGCGATGGTTTTCTTGTTCTCAAATTGGGTGGTGTTATTTGCCTACTTATATTTTTTGGAGGCGATGATGATATTTTCGTTTTGTTATTTGTCCGCTCAGGGGACGTTTCAACTTTCTTTAAATTGGATTGGCTCGGTTTAAATCCAGAAGATAGTGGTTTAGTTACCTGCGACGCTTTGGCATCACCCTTAAACGTACTTAAATTTGGTTTAATATTTTCTTCTGCTTTCGGTTCTTGCTTTACAGGAACGTTAACAGCTGAAGGTAAAATGTAGCCGCTGGATGTGGAACTAGCACTAGATTTAATATTACCGCCCATATTGCTATATTCACTATCTGAATATTGCAAGGATGCAGTATTAACATAGGTTTGCGAAGAATCTGGAGACAAAGCTTTCCCTCTCTCATCAGCTTCCTTTTTTTTTCTAGCTAATGTAGAAGTTGAATAAATGGAATCGAAATTACGATTTTGAATCTCGGTAACTATCTCTCCCAATAAACCCATGCTCTCGCTTGATCCCGAATTAATTGGTTTCGGTTTTTCAGGAGATAGAGAATTCGTTGGAGTTTCTTCTATTACTGCATAGATATTGTCTCCACTGGGAGTGCTGGTTTCGCTGATAGCAAGTGGCGCTTCCTCATTTATACAATCTTCGTACTGATCAGATTCACTGGATTTATCTTTTTCTTCCTCCTTGGGTACTTCCAGAGGTGGACGAGGTGGTGGTGGACTTTTAGGACGAATTCCGGATGGAATACTTAGTGGTCTCTTGAAACCGATTGGTTGTCGCATTGAACCAAAAGTTTGTATTTGTGGTCTTTCAGTTTTAGAAGCACGCATACTCTGCGCTCTCATAACCACATTTTTGGTAGTATCCTTTTCGACGGGTAGAGCGGTTACGGCTATTTCAATATGAGTTTGTGGTATGGGATTGGAAATTTCAATATTTCGCAATGCTTCCTTGTTCTTCGCTTTATTTGCTTTTACTTGACTTGGTTTTGGAACAACTGTCGGTTTTTTATCAGTTGATTTAAGAAACGACGCGATTCTATTTAAAGTGCTAGTGCTAACACTTTCTTTTGGACGTTTCGGTTCTTCTGAAACGTTAACACTAAGAACGATATTTGAAACAGCGTTCGGAGTAGATAAGGGCCTGTTAAATTCGATGTAAGCGGGAGCTTGAGGCGCACTTCTAATTGGAACTTTCGGTGCATTTTTTAAAGGCGATACAAGTTCTTTGGCAGTACAAGTGGAATTTTCTAACACAGGAGAAGATATAATTGGTCTAGCGTTGCTTCCAGGATTGGGCGGCGGTAAAGCTGGAGCTGTGGATACATTATCAGCAGTAGACACTCCTGCTGAAAGAGTATTTTTTCGAAAAGAGTTGTATTTTTGAATAGAGTTACTAAAAAGTCCTTGCTTTGGGGGGGCTAAAGGCGCAGTCCTTATCGGAACAGGTTTTTCACTAGTAGAAACTGTTTCTTTGGGAAGCGAATGTGATATTTTTTTAGTTTGTTTTGCTGCAGGCGGAGGTGGGGCACTTCTGACAGGTTGGGGTTCTGAATTCTTTAATGGACTTATTGAAAATCCTTTAAAATTGCCGAAAAAATTATTTGACAACACAATAAAACCTCCAGGAGGTGGTGTTTCTTCTCGAAGAAGTGAATGGTTGTCTTCTGTTCTTTTCGCAGTTTCTGAAGGGAAAGATGGTCCTCTAGATTTGTTTGGCGATTTTGACCTGTTAAACCAACAAAATAGATGCATTACTTACGGTACCATTAAAATCGGTGTTTATTTTTAAAACCATAACCTTATTTTAATATATTTATTGAGTAATGAAGAAATCAATCATTTAAAGCATGTGCAGTGTTATTTGAGTGTTTGTTACCAGGGACGTTAAAAAATTAACTAATAATTTTGTCTTAGAGGTATTTAAATTCACAATTTATTTATTTTTTGTTATGTACAAAGATTTTTGGAGAAGAAATGTCTAAAAATAAAAAAAAAATTGGATAATATCATATTTTATGAAAAAGTAAGATTGTGTACCAAATTAAAACGTACTATAATTAAATAAAGTCATGTTTTTATAGTGTGCCTATGAAAATTGGAATCAATTAAAAAAAAATGTGACTAATTTTTATTCCTACCTACTATACCGAAATGTGAAAATTGGAGATCAATTAGAAATCTTACTAAAAAACGCAGAAGCGTATTTAATAAAATGGTGACCTCTTTGAGCAATTATTGTTATAGGTAGTTACACAAGAAGAAAACTATAGTTTTTTTTTTATTTGTTTAAAATTTAACATATTTATATCAACTTTAAGGGACACTTTCTATTAATAGAGATAATATGATCTGTTAAAAGTTAACTGTAACACACATTATGTCATATTAATATAGGGTATAGGGTATTATAATTAATAATCATCAATACTCTTTAAAATATGATTCAAATTTTCAGGACACAATACATTATTTAAAAAAAAGGATACTTGCTTTACAGAAATCCAAAGCGAAGCACTACAATAGCATATTACAATAAGACAACATGCACAACGCCACTACTGATACAAAGACAAAAAGTTGAAATATTTATTTAAAAAAATAAGTATAATTCTACGTAATCTAGCAAAGAAGACATATACTACAAAATAAAAGCAAAATAAACAAAAAGTAGAAATAATAAGATTCAGTGTTAATAGTCCACAAATAGAAGTTAGGTAAAAAGTCAAATAAATCGTTTTTATAAGTTTATCGTCATTATCAGAAGAAAGAAAAAAACAAATCCGAAAGTGTAATACAAGAATCACCTGTAACTAGAACATTTATACTAGAACTTCGAATTTTGTTCAAGAACGCGCTCAGACAAGAGAGGTTTATAAATATGGCTCTTTTAATGATGCTCATAGACATTACTAATCTTCTGATAATCAATTTTATGAACAGAATTTTCGGTACGGTGCGAGTATATACATATACAGTGTAACCTACTAAAAATTGAGGTATTTGTTATTTTCTCTTTTTTTAACATGACTAAAATTTATTTTTAGCTTCAGTTTCTTTATAAGAGTTTTAGCAGACACAACAGTTTACTTATGTTCTTAATAAGTATTGGATAAACAGTTTTTATTTGTTTTTTCTTTAAAATATAACATTCTAAAATTAATAAAAATGCAATAAATTAATAAATTATAAACATAATTCCTACTATTTTCTTTTAAAGTCTGGTGGTGACAATAAACTTAGACAAATTAAAAAAAAACTTTTCAGTTTAAATCTATTTGTGGAATAAAAGGAAAGGAATTTATGCAGGATATATCATTGACTTAACCCAACAATTTGAAGCTCAGGACTTCACTACTCTATTCTCTACTTGATTAGGTAGGTATTAGATGGAAATTAAGTATGATGAGATATCCTATTTAAATTAAAAAAAAGAACATTAAATGTAAACTATTACCTGTTAGTCAAGCAGACGTAACGAATAATATTTTTCGGAAACATTAATTGAAGGACAAGAAAAACATTATTTTCTGTAAAATATTAAATTTTATGCATTTACTCAATTCAGACAATATAAAAAATAAAAGAATATTTCCTTAATAATTGACTTCACAAATTTTTTTAAAAAGAAACGTAGAATTGTCATAAAAATTCCAATGGGCATATATTATTTTGTTAATGACCACGATTAAATTCGGGGTCATATCATTAGATATGTGAAGACAATTGAATCATATGTTTAGAGCAGAATCCACAGAAATAAAGCTCCCAGAAAGGCCGGTGTTTCAAATTTAATAATTCAGTCTAAATGAAATACAGTTAGTGAAGTAGTTGTAAGGTAAATTAATGATTCATGAAAAACTTATGTAATTGAAAAAATGCAGGAACAGCTTGTAAAAGAGCTGATAACAATATTTATAGTTAGTTCTAATCAACTATCAGGTAAAATAAAAAATAAAAAAAAATGTATAAAAAGAAATGGTAAATTTCAGGAAGACATGCTTTTTAAAATGTTTTGCTAAAAGAGATCAAAATTAGTGAACATGCAAACTTATTATTGTTTTTTATTCTATATACGGATCATAATTTTTAATCTTACAATGGCTATACCTCATGAACTAAAGATATAAGGAAATACTAGTAATAATGCTTTAATAACGATAAATTATCTTATTCAGGGTGGTTTAATAGTACATATTAATTAAAAACCTATTAAAAAATAAAAAGATGGAAATGTTTGCCGCTAAATTAAATATTTCTAGTCCAGGAGTACAACATAGATCGTTTTTATAAGGTTTTACTTATCTGATCATCTTTAATTCATGAAATATAGCCCTTGTAAGTTATTTAATTGTCACCCTGTCTTCAACAACACCCGTATCCCACGTGATCTGGTAAAGAAAACAATTTAATGAAAATTGCCAATCTTAACTTACTTTTATGATAACTTAAGTGTCAGTTAAACATTATTTTAGAAATTAGAAGTTATTATTGTTAATTTTGGCCAACTAATGACATAAATTTGGTCACGTGGAATACCGGGTATTGTTGAAAACTTGATATTGTCAAGGGTGTCACTTTCATATTGAACTTGAATTTGTAGAAAACATATTATGACTTATAGACATTACAAAAACATAAAAGACGCAAACTAGGTTAAAAAGAAATTATTATAAAACTACAGAGTGTAGTGTTATATCTCAAACTCCTTAAAGTTTATCAGGCTCAAAAATATTAATGGCCATTTTTGCAACAGACTGTATGACTTACCTAAATATGCTATAAAACAAATAATATTAAGTATAGGTACTGTTTAGACACAAGAGAATCAGGAATTTGTCATGACTCACAATGTATGTCATAAAATGGTAAAATTGCATTGCTTTTTTGTTTTTTAAATCCTATAGTTCATAATACATTTATGATTACTACTAATTTAGATAAACGAAACATAATATGAATAAAGATCTTTGAAGATATCAATTTTTTAATCGCTGTTTTAAATAAAATATTGAAATATATGTGCATATTAAAAAAGGTAGTAGCAAACAGACAACACATATTTAAAGTTGTTTTTATTATTTTATAGTAAAATTGGTGAAAAAGTTTAGAAAAGAAATAAATGAAAAGATTCGCTGTTTTTGGGTTTATTTTGGTTGTAATTTTTCCCAAAAAATGGTTCGAACAAAATTTTTGAAAAATTTCGATGCCAGATTGTCAAGAATTTTTTGTTCTTCCAGAAAATTTGTTGGCAGTGTTGGAAAATTTTACTTTGTGCAATTACACTGAGAAAATTATAATTTGTGCCCTCTTTTACACCCTTTTCCCATTTAGAATATATTATGATCCTATGAGTAAATCATATTTTAATATGAATATGATTTAAATTAAATAATTGAGCAAACTTAACATCAAGCAATTTATTTATAAAAAAGGTTAACTAGCAACTAGCTTTTCACATTTTAAAGTTGGTATTCAAAACTTGTATCTTTAACGTAAAAAATATTTTGGTGCACTATTTCATTGCTCTCTAAATGATGTGTTTTAAAAACTCGCTTCTCTCAAACATTAATTTAAATATCACAATGAAAATTTATTTTTAAACAAGCTAACCATTTGATAGACCAATTTTCTTACTCTCCAAGCGTTTAGCAAGATCCCTAACAGACAGTTGTGGTGTGTCATCGACGATAGTTTCACAAGTCTGAGGGCTATTACTACTACTTTCTTTATCTTTATTCTTATTATGACGAATATTAGTGTTCAATTTTAAATTTTTTATGTTTTTTAAAGACATTCTTCGTTCTTGTTTGGGCAATATTTCAGGTTTATTAGTGTTGTTACTTCTATTTGAATTATTATTGATAGTGTTACTTCTAATTATACAATCCGTATTAGTAGTACTCAATAAACTTGTCATTTCTATTTTCGGTCGAGACGGTTTAGAATTTTTATTCGAAACATTATCGGAAACGGTGGGAATTGGATCAGGTTTTTTGTAGGAAGTACCAACACCTTTAAAAACATGCTTTAACCACTTAGGTACATACGTTGAAGTTGTAGATTTGTTGGTGCCAAATTTGAGATTGTGTCTGGCGTAATATGTTAAAAATGCGACGATCGCCAACAACGGCACTACTCCCAAGAAGATAATAAACATTGCAGCAATTACTCCTTGTCGTGCTAAAAAAAATATATATATATATTAAATGGAGGAAGAATTGTGAAAGTATTGTGAAAGTCCTTGGCTCAAGAACGATCGAGTGTTGGAGTATTAGCGAGGTATATTTAGATAGGATGATTCAAGTTGGGCAGTGTTTATCGTTAACCAAGATTTTATTTTGAGTTTCTTTTGGATTTATGTGAGATCAACCGCAATTCCATATTAAATAGTTTCAGTTAGGATAAACAAGAATTGGAAAAAGTTTTGCGAGAAAAAACAAAGTTAATATAAAAATTTCAAATAAAAAAAGTTTTTTTTTTTATTGAAATTAACGTGTCTCGGCATCAGGGGCCATTGACACAGGTACAATTATAATATTACAAGAGGTTTTACAAAAATATACACTATCTACAGACAAAAGAAAAAAAAACCTAATTTACAAAACTATAGGGTACAGGAAAATAATTTATACTAATTTAAATTTGATTAAATAAATTCATAACTTTTAAAAAATTAAACAGTTTTCCAAATTCACTAGGACATCTAAGGATACTAATGCTATCACTCAAACCATTCTTGGCCCGTTGAGTTTTAAAGTAAATGCAATCTTCCTCTAATAAATGTTTGACCGTAAAAGTCCTGTTACAGTACAAACAAAGAGGTTGGGCTTCGACAGACAGTAAATGTTTATGAGTCAATCTTGTATGTCCAATTCTCAGTCTTCTAATGATGGTACTTTCTTTCTTTCTTTCTTTCTTTCTTTGACAGAGAGGGCATTTCGAAATAGTGCAGATTTGGCTGAATTTCTCGAAGTTTTAAATTATTAATATTGTGCCAATGATTTTCCCACTGATTATGGACCTTTTGGCGGAATGCAGTTTTTAGGTCATTAACTAATTGGATATTTTTTGGTGGTAGATTCATCTGAATAGCTCCTTTCGCGACACGATCAGCTTCCTCATTGCCTGCAATCCCGACATGAGAGGGAACCCAAATAAGGGAAACGGAAGTTCCTACTGAAGCAAGAAATTTGTAACAATCGTGTATTTCTTGGACCAAGGGATGTTGAGTATAAATATTTTTAATAGAGTAGATCGAAGAAAGGGAGTCTGTACATATGGCGACATAGTTATCCTCAGCAGTTAATGATTTAAAAGCCTGAAGTATCCCATACAGTTCCCCAGTATGAATACTGCATGAGGAAGGTAGCAAGAAGGATTTCTGGAACCCATCATTTGAGGTTTTGCTATAAATTATTTCCGTAAATGATTGCCCAAAGAATTCTTTTGGTGTGTTACTTTTATTGACTTGGCTAAGCGAGGTATTAAATTTGGGTAATTTTTTTAGCCAAGGAGGACTTTTAGAAATGGGAAAAGGCATCGTTCTAGTGAGCTCAATATCACCGAGTAAGGATTTTAGAGCCTGAGGAATTGAGACAACAGCCCTAGGAGAAGTAATACTGACGAATGTGTTATTGTTTGAAACCAACAGTGAGAAAACAAGGTTTGAAGGGTTCGCAGAGATACCAGCAGCATAAGAAAGAAGAAGGCACTGTCGTCTAAGCCAAAGAGGGGGATCGTTGGCTTCACAGTATAAGCTTTCTACGGGACTTGTTCTGAAAGCTCTGAGGCACAGTCTTAAGGCAGTGTTTTGAACTATATTTAAGGATTTTAAGTTGTAATTGGAGGCAGACATGTAAATAAAACTACCATAGTCTAATTTTGATCTTATAAGAGCTCTATAGGTCCTAATAATAACACTTTCATCAGCACCCCAATGATGGTGAGCTAATACTTTCAATAAATTAATTCTCTTCAGGCAATCGTTCTTGATTTCTTCGATATGTAACTGCCAGGACAATTTACTGTCAAAAATTATTCCTAAAATTGTGCAGTTGTTCACCATAGTCATAGGAAGGCCCTTATAAAATATATTTATATCTTACTAAATTTGATGACTCTAGATTTATTAGCTGAAAAAGAAAGACCAATATTTGAAGCCCAGACGCTTAGACGATCCACTGCAGTTTGCAATAATCTGCAAGTTGTAACAATGTTTTTTCCATGACAGAACATGACAAGATCATCAGCATACATAATAGATTTCACCGGAGGATCGATACTCAAATTAATATCGCTAACTGCTAAGATAAATAAAATTGGGCTTAATACAGATCCTTGCGGAACACCACTATTTTGAGGATGACTTAAGGAAATTTTGCCATTAGCTATTACTCTAAAGGACCTTTCACTTAAAAAACTTTGAAACTCTTTATTATTCATTTTATTACCATTTGGATCTGCAGCAGGACCGCTATCCAAAGAACCGCCCGGGCCAGGATAATCACAATTTGGAGGAGCAAAACCATCTCTGCAATGACAATTTCCTTTATTGTTGCACCAACCATTACCATTGCAATCGTCAACGCAATGAGGTCCTTGCTTTCTTAAACTTGAGACGGACATACATTTCTGATTCACGCACATCTAATAAAACAAATATCAAAATTAACAGAAATAAAAGCACATTATAAATAAGGGTAAAACAAAACTGATAAAGTAATAGTTATATAGATTTGAAAAGGATCTAAATATAACGAGACGTCCAGTATAAAAATAGCTTGGCGGTTAATAAAAGAGGTAGCAGAAAAAGTACACTCACTTTTCCTTTTCCACATAGGGCACCGTCAGGTGTCAGACCTGGATCCACTTGATTTATTCCTAAATCAACTATCGCCGTCCTGCAAGGAATTATTGCACCTTTCTTATTGATGAATGTGTGCGATAAAATTGCAACCGATTCCATACCAAATTCCAATCGCTCGTTCAAATGTTTACAGTGTAACATTCCACATAAAATGCTCCTATAAAATAAATATTAAAACGTATATTTATTAGTGCTCTAGAAACAGGTATAATCAGCCAAAAATGGAATAAAATTTTTATTTAAAACGATACAATAATACATTTCACGCAAATTGTTTCCCAACATATAATGTCGCGCAAAGCCGACCCTGTGCTTTGTTTATACCGTAAAGCGACAGGAACAGTAACAGAAGATTCAAAATTGTAATGTTTGTTCTAACAGGCAGATAAGATCCAATCTCATTACTGGGACATTAATACAGGCCTAAATGAACTAAAAGAATTTATTTAAATAAAACTAAATAAGTAATGAAAAACTTCTGAATATTAATTTGAATTAAAAAACTTACTCATTTTCGCATTTGAAATAACTTTGAGTCAATTTATCATATCCGCAGTTTCCATGCCTTGTACCCTTTGTGTTCATCATGTAACACTGATCGTCACTAGATTTTCCTGTTTCTCCCCATAGTAGTTTGCACTGGTCGGTCCTGGTACTGCAAAAACCACGATAACAGTACGCTTTTCCTTCATCACACACTTCGGTATCTAATTTATAAATGTTTTCCGGACAATACTCGGATTGTCCTGTACAGTATTCAGGTAAATCACATTCATAGTCGGCAGATCTGCAAAGACTGCCTGCAGCCTTTGGTAAGCAAGTCTAAAAACAAATATATTCTCAGAATGAAATAGTTTTTATAATCTATGAAAATAAAAAAAAAATAGTCTAAAACACAAAGTACCTATATAAGAAAGCACTATACAGCAAAAAAGTCTCATTTTTATTTCTCAGAAGTGCAATTGTGCAAATGAGTTTCTAGACAAACATTAAAAGTACATTTTTAAACAGAAAGTTGACATAATTTGATATTGTGTATTAGAGCAGTGGTTTTTAAACTTTTTTGGTGACGGAACCATTTTGAAAAGCGAAATATTTGACGGAGCCCTAAACACATTTCTAAAAAAAGGTCCATATCGCCCTTCCTCCTAATGACGCTAAAAAAACAGGCCCCGAGCCAGGTGGTCCCTCCACCTTGTTCGCGGAACCCCCACAAAAAAATCAAAATTATATCCTCCTTCCTCTTGGTGACTTCTCAACCCAAGTCCGTCCCTTCTGTAGCGATAGTACTACTTTTTTTATTAGACTATTATATTCTTCGCGGAGCCCCCACAAAGGCTTTGCGCAGCTCAGGGGCTCCGCGGACCACACTTTGAGTATTAGAAAATATTAAATCGTATAAAATAAATAAAATAAAACTCTTTTAATTAGACTTACAGTAAGATCACAGCATTCGCCTGTTGCACAACTAGCGTTACTGTGCAACATACAGGTTGTAGCGTTACAGCAATAATTATCACAGTGTTCTGCCAAACCGCAATCACATTGTTCTCCAGATTCCACGAATCCGTTCCCGCAAACGGGACTGTCGTAGAGAGCTTTAGGCTTATTTTTTAGGCAATAATCCATTCCATGAGTAAAAGCTTGCAATAGATAATTTAAACTGCAAGAGGACCAGTGTTTGGGGGCAACAGTTGAACTACTCGGAGCCATTATGCAACGGTCCTCTGGACATTCGCATTCAGTTGTATCGTGTTCCATGCCTGAATATACATATAAATAATAAATTAATTAAATTACGTACTGTATTTAAAAAAAAGCATACAAATTGAATAATCCGATTTAAAACTTTGGTTTCTCTTACCAGTAGATACATTGGGCTACCAAGACGATTAGTTTTAAATCAAGAGAATTAAAATTTATAGTTTGCCAAAATTAAACGATACTACCCGTGTTTGAAGGCAGGTGGCGTTGCTGAGGGAAGTTGGCATTACTGTCGTGTACTGTCATCTGTCGCACGACACCATACTAAAATTCAAACTGATTCATAGGTTGGTTTGTATTTGGCAGCCACTTGTACCATACGTGTTTTGCATTATTTGATAAAATGGAAAAAGAACAATATCGATCCGTAATTTGCTTTTTATTTTTGAATGGAAAAACATGCGATGAAATAAAAAAAAAAGTAGGATGCTGTCTATGGGGTTCTTTCACCATCTATGACAACTGTAAGATATTGGTTCAACGAATTTAAACGTGGTCGTACATCTGTTTTTGATGAGGAGCGACCAGGTCACCCGGCAGAAGCGTTTTACCAAGGAAACCGTTAAAAAGGTCCAAGACATGATTGTCGCAGATCGCCGAACGAAAGTGCGAGAAGTAGCAGAGGCCGTAGGCGTATCATACGGATCGGCAATTAATATTTTGCATGATAAGTTTAAACATGAGAAAGGTATCGGCCCGATGGGTGCCGCGATTGCTTACGGTGGACAACAAGCGGATACGGCTGTCAATGTCGAAGCAGTGTTTTGGAGCTCTTTAATCGAAATTCGCAGGAGTTTTTGCGTCGAGTCGTCACCGTTGATGAAACCTAGATACATTATTATACGCCAGAGACCAAACGACAGTCGAAACAATGAAATTTTCGGGGTGAATCTGCTTCGAAGAAATCAAAGACGGTCCCATCGGCCGGAAAGATCATGGCCACGATTTTTTGGGATTCCAAGGGAATAATCCTCATCGAATTTTAGCAGAAAGGAAGTACGATCACAGGGCAGTACTATAGTGAATTATTGGAACGATTCGATGCAAAATTGAATGCCTCATTTGGCTAAGAAAAAAGTCCTGTTTCACCACGATAACGCACCAACCCATTCATCGAGAATTGTCGCTGTCAAATTGCAAGACTGCACTACGAATTGCTGTCGCACCCACCGTACTCGGCCGACTTGGCTCCATGCGACTTTTTTCTATTCCCCAACATGAAAACGTGGCTCGGGGGAAAAATTTAGCTCTAACGAGAAGGTTATCGTCGAAACTGAAACGTATTTTGCAGTGTTCGAGAAATCGTATTTTTTGGAGGGGTTAAATAAATGGCAGAAACGTTGGGAAAAGTGTATAGCACTAAAAGGAGATTACGTTTAAAAATAGAAATAAATTTTTTTGAAAAAATTGCCTCTTCCTTTCAAACACGGGTTCTTTTTGATCCACCCTCGTCTTGTAGTGATAAAACTATTGTAAAAAATCAAGGGCGACCAAAAAAAAAAAAGTTTTATGCAGATAGAAAATTATTGATGGGAAAGAAGTATCAGTAGGAAATTAAAGATTGATGGAAAAGTGCGAAAAGAAAATTAAAGTCTGAGGGGCAAGAGTCAAAAGAAAACTAAAAATTTGAAACTGAAAGTTATTTTTAGAATGTTTTAATGTGTTATAGAAGTTATGTTATTGGAAATTCTATGAAGAGAAATAAATTAATTATAAAACAGATAAGGGAAAATTTCATTTAAAATTAAATAGGACAGAGACGCAGAGCATAATAGAGACCAGGGGGTCGATTCTCGACTCGTAGGAATATTTTCCTATAGGAATTTTTGACATTTTTATATACATCGAAAATTTATGACATTTTCCTACATATAGGAAAGTGTCACAAATTCCTATAGGAAAAGGTTCCTACAAGTCGAGAATCGACCCCCTGAAGGAATATATTTGGATGACAGTAGTAAATAAGGAGGAAATGAGTGTCATCTGCAAATGTGTATATATTTATATATTACACATTAGCTTGCTGATATCAGAAATGCATGTTATATATTCGTACATTCTTCAACTTTTTTCTTTCAATTACCCTGTATAATACAATACTTTTACTTTCAATCTACCAAAAACGATAGAAAACATTAACCAACAAAATTTTTCAACTCATATTTGCACATTTTGCAAAAATCCCTTTATTCCTAAATGTAACAAAGGGTTTACCATAATATAACAAAACCCGCACTGAGCTCTATTGACATTTCAGCTGGCTTTATTAAGGTCCTCAATCTTGTGGCGAACCTAAAGCTGCCGCGCTCTCCTTATGCCGCTGCCGGGCCCCCACTTGAGCCCGGGCCCCAGGAATTAGTCTCGGCTACCCCCCCTCTCGTCGGCCCTGTCTGTAGAACATCCCTTTTCCTAGATTTTTCAGTTTTAGTCCTACTTAAAAATGAAGTCTATGTATATTATGAAATTTCTAAAATGCAAATTTTTATTAAGAGTCGATTTCATAATCAATATTAAAGGCACAAAAGGGCCAATTAACTAATGGGATCTACCTTTTAATATTTATTATGAAATCGGCCTTCGATAAAATTGTACATAGATTTCATGAAGATACGTACAGAAATTAATAATTATTTTCTTATGGACCTCATTATTAGATCTTGACCAAATTTATATGGGACCACCCCTAAGGTACCTAATTTATAACAAAAAAACAATCATAGAAATGGGGCAACGTTGTAAAGAATTATCGCTGAATATACATAAAAAATATTCCGACGAATTGAGAACCTCCTCCTTTTTTGAAGCCTGTTAATAAAAATGGAGAAATTTTATTTATAAATTGGGAAAAGCAAAGTTATGAACAATAATAGCGAACAGTAGAGCTAAGCTATGCTGAATATGAGCTTCAGAAGCAGAGAAACTAGAGTGAGAGACCAAAAAGTAGATAAAGGCAGAAGAGCAGCCGAAGCATAACAGAATTCTATTATTTTTTTAAATTTATTTATGTAAACTTTTTTTTTTAGAAAACTGAGCCAACTAAAACCACCCTAGCTGGATTGAAATTTATTTAATTTGTTATTGTTTGGAAACTTTTAGCCATAGGTTTCCATATTGACAGATTTACCTTTTTTTGTCAGCAGAATTATCCAATAAACAATCCCAATTCCAAGAAATTCCCTTAATTTTCAGAAAGTATCCACCCTGGTTCAATCTAGATAATTAAGTGATATCAAGTCAATAACCTTTAATTAAAATTCACAAGAGTTTCATCAACTTAAAAGCCAGTGTAAGGTTCAATTTCGTAATTGCGCATAAATCACATAAAATCGATAAACTAGACTACTCGAAAGAAGCTAATAAATAAGTATTCTCACCGAAATTATGTCCCATTTCGTGAGCAACAGTAGTAGCAACAAGTCCAACAACAGGTGAATGATCTGTATTTACTCCGCCAGAAAATTCGTAGGTACATATCGGACCTTTGAGAGCTTTGCCGACTACACCATTATCAAAATTAAACTTGCTGGAAAATAAACATTATTAAAAGAAATATTTATTTTAATTTGGACTATTTACTTACGTTAATAATTGAGCATTGTCATTGGGATGAATTCTGATTAACTTCTCTCTTCGATAATGCAAAAAATTCGTGAGCGTCGTATCACCATTGGCGGAAAAATTTATCTCATCATTTTCACTCCATATAACTACGCCTACTAAAGCTATAAAAATATTTAACGGGGAGTACAGCTGAAAATAAAATAAGCAAACTTAATTTCGTTAGAAATGTTAAACATTTATAGGATATGTAGGGATTTAAAATCCTAAATTATAGTAGACGGAGCGAGATTTTCTTAAATTATAAGGCGAAAAATTACAAAGACAAAGAAACCCTGTACTATGGACAAATTTGTCAAATTCTACAATAGTTGTTCACATTAAAAAAACAATGAACCCTTAAGACCTTTTTAAAATTCTAAATAAAATAACAAATTTGAAACTTACCCCGTTTATAATGTTGGCAATGGTTTTGGCATGATTTACAACTCTAGTTGTACTTTCTCCCAGTTCTTTGTATTCTTGATTGTCTATTACGAGAACTAATTCTACATATTTGGATTCTTTGTTGGCATTATAGGGTCCCCTGACTAATTGTTGGTCTGTATCTCTCTTGTACTGCAATAAATTAAATACGTACAAATTTAGACAACAAAAACAGTAAAAATAGATCACAAGTGGGTCTATTTTGTAACAATTCCTTTATATTTTAAACGGATTCCTTTAAAATAGTCCTCAAATAACAATCATTTTTAAAGGGATGTTAAAATTCGCCTTAAATTTTTAATGGTTTTGAATTGAAAATTGAGGATTTGTATGGTTATGTTTTCAAACTAGTTTAAATAAATCTTAAATGCGATGTTTTCAAGTATTCTCCTGCCATTTTTAAGGGAATTCGTTAAAAGAAATAATTTTTAACAGGCCTCTAAAATTTGTGTATACAGAATACTATTTTTGGTTAAAAAAATTAACGGGTCGCTAAAAATTCATTTTTAATGGACTCTAAATTTTAACGGATGTGTTACAGAATAGACCCCGATGTTTATATCCTTTAATATCGTCCTTTATAACCTCGCGAAAAGTTAGAATAGATGTTTAAAAAAATAAATAATAGGCTTAATTCCCTCATAAAGCTTAATTTTTCTTGAAGATGTGTTTTTGATATCGTTTTTTGTTTCTGAGTTACGAACTTTCTTCAATATTTTAACCCCTTTATCTCTCAATATTTATTTATTTATTTATTCGAGTTTCGAAAATTTTGTGACTCATCCTATATTAAAAAGCATTTATTCAGTTATATAAATTAAACAAATTATCAAAAACAATAGCCCCACTACAAATTTTGCAAAAAATAATGTGATGTATCATGTAAGACTTTCATGGGAAAGTTACTCTCACTATTAAAAAATAAAAATGACATTTCCATTGAAATGTGCCCAAAATACTTTTTGTAAATTCTCGGACAAGCAATAATTTGTATTATTATTCAAAGTCTACCGTCTCTATTTGACTAGTATTTCCGCCCTAAATTGCAACCTTTAACATAATAACAGCAATTATTATACTGTATGACAAACTCTCTAAGGAAAGCCATAATACAGGATGATTTATTAGAGTGAAACAGTCTAATATCTTAGGCATTTTTGGATATATAATCAAAATTATAGAACAGTAGGCAACATTTAACTACATATTTTAAAATTATTGATTCAATAAATTGAGTCTGGAACAAACTTATATTTTTTTAAATTTTATATTTAAATTACTTTTGCTTTTCCCATTAGAACAATACTAAATGGAATGGGATTACACAAAGTATTTTACACAGTTTTTTAATAGGAAATTACAATTAATTTTAAATCGATGTTAGAAATACCTTATTCTTTATAAAATGATGTTTTCTTTTTGATAGGTCTAGTTTTAATTTTCTATCCCTATTGGCTTTACATAATGGGTATTTTTCCAAATTTTTACACAAAAAACGAGATAAAATTTGGAAAAAATACTCATTATGTAAAAACCAATAGAGATAGAAAATTAAAAATAGACCTATTAAAAAGAAAACATTATTTTATATAGTATAGGGTATTTCTAACATCGTTTTAAAATTAATTGTAATTTTCATTTAAGGGAGAGACACAAAAAACGAGACAAAATTTGGAAAAATACCCATTATGTAAAAACTAATAGGGATAGAAACTTAAAAAAAGGCCTATCAAAAAGAAAACGTTATTTTATATAGTATAGGGTATTTCTAACATCGATTTAAAATTAATTGTAATTTTAATTTAAGGGAGAGACACAAAAAACGAGATGAAATTTGGAAAAAATACCCATTATGTAAAAACCAATAGGGATAGAAAATTAAAAATAGGCCTATCAAGAAGAAAACATTATTTTTTATAGTAAAGAGTATCTCTAACATAGATGCAAAATTAATTGTAATTTTAATTTAAGGGAGAGACACAAAAAACGAAATTTTATTTGTGTCTCTCCCTTAAATTAAAATTACAATTAATTTTAAATTCTTTATAAAATGACGTTTTCTTTTTGGTAGGTCTAGTTTTAATTTTCTATCCCTTTTGGTTTTTACATAATTGGTATTTTTCCAAATGTTGACACAAAAAACGAGATAAAATTTGGAAAAATACCCATTATGTAAAAACCAATAGGGATAGAAAATTAAAAATAGACCTATCAAAAAGAAAACGTTATTTTATATAGTATAGGGTATTTCAAACATCGATTTAAAATTAATTGTAATTTTAATTTAAGGGAGAGGCACAAAAAACGAAATAAAATTTGGAAAAATACCCATTATGTAAAAACCAATAGGGATAGAAAATTAAAACTAGACCTATCAAAAATAAAATATCATTTTCTATAGTAAAGGGTATTTCTAACATCGTTTTAAAATTAATTGTAATTTTAATTTAAGGGAGAGACACAAAAAACGAGACAAAATTTGGAAAAATACCCATTATGTAAAAACCAATAGGGATAGAAACTTAAAAAAAGGCCTATCAAAAAGAAAACGTTATTTTATATAGTATAGGGTATTTCTAACATCGATTTAAAATTAATTGTAATTTTAATTTAAGGGAGAGACACAAAAACGAAATAAAATTTGGAAAAATACCCATTATATAAAAACCAATAGGGATAGAAAATTAAAACTAGACCTATCAAAAAGCAAACATCATTTTCTATAGTATAGGGTATTTCTAACATCGATTTAAAATTAATTGTAATTTTAATTTAAGGGAGAGACACAAAAAACGAGATGAAATTTGGAAAAAATACCCATTATGTAAAAACCAATAGGGATAGAAAATTAAAAATAGGCCTATCAAGAAGAAAACATTATTTTTTATAGTAAAGAGTATCTCTAACATAGATGCAAAATTAATTGTAATTTTAATTTAAGGGAGAGACACAAAAAACGAGATGAAATTTGGAAAAAATACCCATTATGTAAAAACCAATAGGGATAGAAAATTAAAAATAGGCCTATCAAGAAGAAAACATTATTTTTTATAGTAAAGAGTATCTCTAACATAGATGCAAAATTAATTGTAATTTTAATTTAAGGGAGAGACACAAAAAACGAAATTTTATTTGTGTCTCTCCCTTAAATTAAAATTACAATTAATTTTAAATTCTTTATAAAATGACGTTTTCTTTTTGGTAGGTCTAGTTTTAATTTTCTATCCCTTTTGGTTTTTACATAATTGGTATTTTTCCAAATGTTGACACAAAAAACGAGATAAAATTTGGAAAAATACCCATTATGTAAAAACCAATAGGGATAGAAAATTAAAAATAGACCTATCAAAAAGAAAACGTTATTTTATATAGTATAGGGTATTTCAAACATCGATTTAAAATTAATTGTAATTTTAATTTAAGGGAGAGGCACAAAAAACGAAATAAAATTTGGAAAAATACCCATTATGTAAAAACCAATAGGGATAGAAAATTAAAACTAGACCTATCAAAAATAAAATATCATTTTCTATAGTAAAGGGTATTTCTAACATCGTTTTAAAATTAATTGTAATTTTAATTTAAGGGAGAGACACAAAAAACGAGACGTATATTTCAATGATCTGTATACTGCAAAAATAAACAATTGAAAACCAATTTTTTGACTGTAATTAACAATGTGATGAAGTTTCCCGTCAATAAATAAAAAAAATAAATAACTAAATAAATAAAAACATTAAATACTGGTGGGCTTATTAGAAAACTCAAAATTTTATTATCAGAAACAAATCTTTGTTGAAGATTTTAATTAAATTGCATTTTTGTCTTAATGTAAAATAAAGCAATTAGATCTTTAAAATCATAAAAAAATGTATTTAATAATAATAATACTCTCCCTAATTCACCCCCTTACGAGTGAATGTCAACCCCTGAAGTCGACTGAACGACTTGTGTAGGGGAAGGGACGGCTATTATTATTATTATTATTTGCCGTGGCGCTCCGGGGCGACTTAAAGATGATTGATGGTGCCATTTGACTTACAGGTGAGGAAAACCCGGAAAACCTCACCCACCATCATCGAGAAGGTAATTATATATAAATTGAATTTCTATTAATACGGCACACATCAAATCCTAAACCGAACCATGCAATTTAATTAAAAATCCACATGGTCTGGTCTGGGATTCGAAGCCCAGCAGTCTCAGACTCATAAACTTGCCTATAAATGAATATAAGCGCGTTAGACCGCTACACTACCGACCAATGTTTGACAACCTTTTTCATGTAGTGGGTGATATAAATCAAATATCCTAGGACATTTTTTTGAATTGCTGTAAATTTAAAAAAAATTGGTTAGACATACATAATAAATACACCATTATAATATATAAAAGACTTACCCTTAATATCCTATTTTCTTTATGACTATGGATTTTCTCAGGATCTACGGCATCGCCTGCATAACCGCATGTTTTGTTATGTTTTAATAAATCAGAATGTTTGTATAAATAATGATCCGATTCAACATCTCCATGAACAGATCCTTTTTCAATATAGTGTATTTCGTTTCCATCAAAGATAACACCGGATAAACCATCGCAAGTTGACACTGCTACCCAAGAATTTGGTTTGCCGCGCACTTTGCCATTATAATCACAAATATTTGCTTCCTAAAAAATATTAAGTTTACAGAAAATTTTAAAATAGAAATTAAAAAAAAAAACGACTTCAAAAACGTGTGCAGATGCCATTACCACATCTTAACCAAATTTATGAGACCACCCTGAGGTACCCCCTTACTAACAAAAAAAGAATCATATAAATCGGACAAGGTGGTAAAGCATTATCGCTAAACATACATGAAAAATGAAGAGTTTGAGGAGTTTCTCACAGACCCAATTATTAGATTTTGACCAAATTTATATGGGACCATCCCAGAAGTATCCCCTTTCTAACAAAAAAAGAATCATTGAAATCGGACACGGTGTTAAAGAATTATCGCTATACATAAAAAAAAATATTGCGACGAATTGAGAACCTCCTCCTTTTTTGAAGTGGGTTAATAAATATATCATTAAAAAAGAAAGGAAACAAAAAAGAAAATTTCAAAGTCTGTGTCACAGCAAAGTCCCTTTCTCTCTTCGCTACGCAACCCCCTCAGTTACGAAAAAGCTGGGAAGTATGAAGTTTTATTTGAGGGATCTAGAACCATAATTATTAAAAATTCGTCAGTTATTTTAATAAATAAGGAAAACAATTGGAGATTGCCGCTTTTGCTACTCACTTTGAGATGATTGCCATGTTTATTATTTTCGCAAAAAATGGAGTTTGCCGCCTTTGGTTCTAGACCCCCTCATTTGGAACTAAAAATTGGATAAGACTCTATTTAGGTGCTATAAGAAGTAGCTGTTATATTTCGCGAATAATTGATAGCTTAGGTTTTAAAGAAACTTTAAAACTACCATTATAAAACAAAAAATGGGATATTATACATTTTAAATCTTACCTGCAAATTGGGTCGTTGCACTATATATTCTCCATTCACTTGATGCTTATGAAAAAATCCTTCAGGAATCAAATTTTTATTTATCGTCAAATCTAAAATCATTTCTTCTCCATCTACATCCAACGTGATTTGTAGACGATCGGTGTGTTCTCCAGTCTGGAAAAATAGTCAATTGATAAGTATAAACAGTTTCCCATCAAAAACAAGAAACATAGAAAAGGAGTTAGGATGGCTGAACATGTATAATATACGTAAGCTTCACATTGCATGTCGGACATAAAGTGATAAAAACTGAAATTATTATCGAAGTATTGTAATTCCTTTTAACATATAAAACTCAATCTGAGAATCACTTTTCATCACATACTTTTTCCAAAAAAATGCAAACCAAGGTAATAAAAAATACTTCAATAAACAGTAAAATTATCTCGTTAAACTCAAATGAACGATACCGCCTTAGATAAAGTGATGCAATTTGCATCACTGTTTGGCACCAACGGTAAGTAATATTTACTAACTTATTTTTGATTCAGTGTTAAAATAATTGGTTTGTTATTTAAATTTCTTTTTGTTTTCAGTTTTTAAATGATCATTGTTGTAAAGAAAATGTTGGCCCTTCAAAATACCCTGTCGATCGATGACGGACACATTTCCTGCAAGAGGTTTCTCTGAGTTAATTGAACTAAAAAATGGTAAATATACGCGCTTGATAAAACTTTTATGAATATCTTTGTGGTTAACCAGTAAAAGATTTTCTTTAATCATTATTGTTTGTCGTCATAGTTTTATCAGTGCTCTTAGTTATATTATGGTTGAACTGGATTATAAACCGCAATATCACTGTTTAATTAGATTTTATCGTCAACTTACTATCAAAAAAAAAAAGCACAGTGATTTTACAGGAAAAACATTTCATATAAAATATACATTTTGAAATACGATATTCTACAGATGGGGAGTGATCATTACTGTAAAGGCACTTAAAGAAAATTATTTCCACATCAATGAATGAAATAAATTATGATATGTAGAAAAATAATGATATATAGGTTTACTTTTTCTTTGTTCTACAATTGAGGTTTGACGTGTATAATAACTAATAACAAGGAGAACATGGTTAATCTTTCATACTTCATTTACTAATAAATTCAATCTTCATACCTTTTCTTTAGTCGACGAAATTTGTCTTTTTTCTCGTCCATGGTATATCTTAGGTTTCACAAGTGCATGACGACTAAATTCTGATACAGGATGTAGTTCATCTGTAATAAAAATAATAATTTATAATTTCTACAAAACCAGTAGTATGCGATGTAATATTTATAATAAAGTGCATTAAATTATAAACCTTTTGATCAGAGAGTAATATTTTAAAAAGTTCAAATTCAATAAAAAACAAAGCAAACATTAAATAATTAACTGTTCAAATAACTTGACTCTCCATTTTTAATCAATTTTTTTAACAGAAACAATAGGCTTATTATAGAGCTTGTATTTTCCTGAAGATAATATAGTTTTTTTGAGTTTTTCAATCAATGGAGGTTTCTTTCGTACTATTAATTTTTACTAAAAGTTTTATGTTGATATCTCTTCTGATTTTTTTTTTAATTTCAAATCACCTAAACCCCCTATTTTTAATCATAGACTTCGTCCTCTTATAGAGCGTGATTTTTCCTGAAAATTTTAAGTTGATATTTTTCGTTTTTGACACAAAACACGTGACTTCGAACGGACATTTTTAAAAATTGTTAAAAATTTGACGAGAAGCATTTTGGTACAAAAATGTTTAAACTTGGATCAATAATAAAAATTTTGGTTTCTCGAAAGTAAACCTACTACTGTGTGGAGAGTATAATCATATATTTATTGCTATTAAAAATTTTGCGATTGAAGAATTAAAATGTTCATATGCTTATTTTACGTATCCGTTTTAATAGAAAAGGTCGTACGTGTTAATCCTGTTAAGTCTGACGTTACAAATCACAATATGTGGGAGTGATGTTCGAGTTTAATAAACTGGAAAATTATACGTATGATCCGTCATGCAGATTAAAATATCGCCTTAAATAAAGTAACAGCAACAGAAAAAAATTAATGGATACCGTAATTTGGAAACCAAATTCCAGTTACTTTACTTTTTAGCAATTAAAAAATAACCACCCTTTATGTCAGACGGGAGAAAATCGTTTCACAAAAACTGTCGCTATCCCCCGGTCCATAGTAGCATACCGTTAACACAGATATGAATAAAATATAATTGAGATAATTTTCAAACAATCTATACTCTGTTTTTAAACTAGGAGGAGCGAATTGAAAAGACGCATTTACACAGGGAAAAGTAACTAGATTTGTTACTAAGAGCGAGTTTCGAAATATAGTCCGAGAATATCGGTATTCTCGGATATACTTAGTCGTGTTCAAAATTTATGAAATAATTATCTTTATCGGCCTTAGTCGGTGAACGGCCAATGAGCGGTTAAGAAACGAATAAATGTCATAGAAGTAATTTTTTAATTGGTCCCAGACAACGGTCGCAAATTTCACATTATTAGGCATTCCAACGACCTGTCAAACAATAGGTGCCAGTGGGAAATTCTTGTATATCTAAGGGGGTAGCGACATAGTCTTGCAACTTGGACGCTATTTTTATTCGAAGTAGTACTCGCCAAGCCTGCCAATTTATGAAGAAATGTATAGGTGGGTTTTTTAAATATTATTTTTATTGTGTTCGACATAAAATATTTAAATGTAATCCATTATTCATGATTTTACGTAAAGTACATAGAATACACCATATGTCGCCACCCTTAGATATACCAAACCTGCCCACTGGTAATTCATTTTTTTTTGGAGTGAGGGTAGCCATATGTGAGTAGTAGGGATTAAGTGTAAAGGTTAAAGAAAAGGTCCTTTATATCTCACAAGTCAATTTATTGGCCAATAAATTGACTTGTGAGATATAAAGGACCTTTTCTTTAACCTTTACACTTAATAGGTAATTCATTTGTTTGGAATGCCTAATTGTGATCTGAAATGTGTGTCTAAAACGAAATGTCACTGTCAAATTAAAGTCAATATGACTTTTTGAGAATAACTATGATCTTTTTAAAATAGATATTAAATATTTAAGAAAATTGTTAATGGAATATCCAGATGTAGCCAGGTTAGTATAAAATATAAAGATCTGTTTACATTTTTAAGGATATATTTGTTATAGGTATAAAAAGTAAAAGTTAATCAGTGAATGACAAGTGGATCACACAGTAACTGGTATCTCTTCTATGAGTAATGTGGATATTATGGCTTATTTAGTGATAACCCATGGTTAATGCGCTAGAGGGCAAATAAGGGCATTCAAAAGTATACAGGCCTATGAGTCAGAATTTGTTTTGAAAACTGGAACCAACATTTTCATAACACTACATGTCAACATATATTTTTTAAAGTGAACTATTCATACATACCTATGTATTAATTTTAAGTATTTTTAAAATATTTTTTTTTAAAATAATGTTAACTCATTGTGCCAAATTAAGATTATCCCTAAAGTAGTAGATGGTGTTTTAAATGTTATAACAATTTTGTAAATAGTTTTATTCTATTCTAATAAATAAAATTTGCTTGAATATTTAGTTACATTTTAATCATTTTGGTTAGAAATTCATCAATTTTTAGTTTTAAAAAATCAGTAATAAAATTATTTTTTTCTAAAATACTTCGGAATTCATCTCTTCATGGTAATCTCCCGTCTTTTTACCTTCAAAAACGAAATAATGCATTTTCTACAAAACCTTCAGAATCGGCATGTAAAATAATAAGTTGTCTTCCCTTTCTTATAAGGCTTTTCAGGAATTGCTACCTTTAATAGTACTCAGTGTAGAAGGATCTATAATTGTAGATTTTCAATACAATTGCTTGCTGAAGAACTATAATATTTACGAAATAAAGTAAAAAAAACTAAGTAATGGATGAGATATCAAATTATAAAATGTCAGAACTGTCAACAATGTCAATTATTAGCTGATGTTCATGCTAAAAAGTAATGTGTGAAACTGACTGTAATCTGACCAATCAGACAGCTACAGAATTGCCAACTTAAATTCAAATCGCTCCTCTTAGTTTAAAAACAGAGTATAACAAATTGATCGAATTTAAAATTTAGATACCTACATTTTTCGTGTCATGTGTCATGTGAAATGGCATTGCACTTCTCTCATCAGTGCGTATTATGAAATCATTGGAGAGCACGAATTTTAACCTATCCCAAAATAAAAATGCGCTAGTTCAGTGTGATGTCATTTTGGTTCCACTGACATTTAATACTGTCACTTTAATTGTCAGTGGAACCATAATTACATCATCACTGAACTAGCGCATTGAAATAATCAATTGTTGTGGCTCTATTAGGCATTCCAACGACCTGTCCAAATGGCTACCAGTGGGTAATGACAGTTTAGATATGGCAACCCTGTTGTCATGTTGTCATTAACAGGGTCAATGATACATATATAGTTATATAGATTGCTCAAAGCTGGTCGTTTACGAGCGGCCATATTGCCTGGCAAATATATATTAATTTGAATCGGTTTAGCAAAAATGTGTTTTAAAACCAATTTTTAGCCTTTAGATATTTAAAAAAAAAGAATTGCTTACATTTTTACTTCAAGGCATAAGCTTATGTTTATTTTGAAAAATATGGATGATCAATCTATGTAACTATCTATTTCATTGACATTGTCAAATCACCAGGCCTACAGAGTTGCCATAATTTTGCCATATCATAACCCGTCAGAACCCACTGGTAGCCATTCAGTTTGGAATGCCTAATACCCATGCTCTATACCATGATCTCATAACAAATCAGTGGCGTATCCAGAATTTACGTTTGGATCTGGGTAGCGGTAATATTTAAGACTTTATGGGGTCTATTCTGTAACAATTCCTTTATATTTAACGGCCTTTAAAAATATTTTCTTCTTTACTTCTGTCATTATTTAAACGGATCTTTAAAATACATTAGAGGACTATCTTAAATAAATCTGTTTAAATAATGACAGAAGTAAATTAACGAATACAAATATACTTTTAAAGGCCGCCAATATTTTTAAAGGTCGTTAAATATAAAGGAATTGTTACAGAATAGACTCCTATTTCTGATAATAATACATTTTTAGTACCTGTAAAAAGTTAGGATTAAAAATTCCTGAAGGGGGGTAATTACCTATATTACCTCCCTCGTATATACGTCCTTGTAACAAATTAAAATCAATTTGGAAATTCTCTTTACTCTAAATAATATATCCTAATCTTGTTCAAGCGGAACTTGCTATAATCGAATTAAAAATAACGGTATTACTGCCTTGCAATTTGATCAGTATTTAACGGGATTTCCCACAACCGGAGTAGATTAGCTTTATTCCAAATAAAGATCAAGTTAATTTCGCTGTTTTTGTAAATTTAATTAAAAATGTCGTAAGCCTATTAATCGCAATTATGGAAAGTTTATTATTTTAATGTAATTTTAATTAACAAAAACAATTACTAAGAAAGATATTTTGTATTCTAAATATATGACAAAAACAATCGTGATTCTTGTCAACAAAAGTATTAAAAGTGTCTTTTTCCGTTTTATAAATAAATTTTTCCTAAATTACATTTATTCCAAGATTAATTTAAGTATTTCTTTAATATTTTATAAAAAAAATACTACTGTACTCTCAAAATGTTTAACATAGATCACCATTATAAAATTTTAGCTTTTATTACAGACATTTCGAACAATTCCATTGTTTATCAATTATTATTCTATCTACTCTGCTAAACAACATTCCTTCAACAGAACTACCACATTTTTTAGCTCCGCGAATGTATTGTTGATATCAATCATTTAATTTTTTTTTATTTGAATTGATCTGAGAAACTATAGAAACTATAAAATGGTATAAGAAACTACCTTGATGGATTTTCAATCAAATCGACATTTTTACTCAGCTGACATGATGGCACCATGAATTTAATAGTTTTTAGATTTTTCTTTCATTACTTGAAAGTAGACTAAAAATTTGCCCACATGTGCAATGAGTTGTCATCTCAAACGTTTCGACTTTTCCATAGGCAGAAAGGGATGTAAGTTCACCTCAAAGTCGTACAATAATTGAAATTTCATTATTACAAGTTACTTGAAATTTCTTATTTTACTTGAATTTAAGTGTATGAATAACCATAAAAATTGCCAGACAAAAATTTCAGACAGAAATCACCCCAAAACATGTTTTTTTTATATTATATTTTT